AAGCTCTCTCTAAAATACATCCTCTTATTCATAATTTGTTCACACTTTATGAAGTGTCCCTTTCCCCCACATCTGAATATTGTTAGCTGCTTTTTAAGACAACATACGTGTCAAAAACACAGCCTATAAGGGAAATAGAAAGAATCGCAAGAGTGAGAGCAGTAAGTATTGCTACGGAAGCGTTTGCCATCCTAAGTGGTACAGGACTGTGCTTGGCCACAGCAGAGCTGCAAAGCACTATTTCTCTCCACCATTAGCCGGGACTTACTTGTACTGGCCAAACCTCACTCAAAGTAAAATCATTTTCTTGGAGAGCTTAGAGGAGGGATTTCCAAAGGAAGATGATGTGTAGATGCACAGCGTCTATTTGATTTATGTGTTACACTACAGTATGGTTATCCTTCACATTAGCCTGACTCATCCATCCTATAAAGAGTACCCTGCACATCGTTTTAGAATTTAATCCATATTCAACAGCTACAGAGAAGAAAAAGTCAAGTATTCTTTCAAACATGCAGAACATAGCCCACTACGAAGGTCAGACTAGCAGAGAAAGCAGTGACATTCAAAGGCCAGTGTTACAAGAGGCACAGGATTTAAAGGTTTTCCCTCAAATTATTTTCACTGGGAAGTACCCTCATGAACTGATTAGGAAAAATCTATTACATCAGTCTGACCAATCTCCAGAGGATGGTTGAAGAGAAGAAATTCAAGAAACACCTGAATGATTCATGGAGAAATCTTCCCATTTCTTCCCATTTCAAATAAATATTCAGAGCAAAGCTCATCAGAACTCCTGCCTGGTTAAAGATGGTAAGAAGATCACTTGCAAAAGATTCTGTTATGGCTAATTCTGTACACAGCAACCCCAAATGTGACATACCCCTCACAGAGTGTTGGTGACATGGCCCTCGACAGAAGAAATATCAGCATTATTAGAGGTAAAGTCCAAATGTATGCTTACATGAACTTGTTTTTCCAGGACCTCAAAAAGCTTTGGAAATGCAATTTACATAAATCATCATGATTTTCCTGTGAAACTGTGGCTTAGGTACCCATATGAATTTTACTAAGCCCCCCTTCCAGCTTACTGCTACCAGAACCCACCTCATCTCCCTGCTTGCAGGAGCCAGAGGCTGCGAACAATGGCTGTCACACAAAACAACCTGAGCACCTGCTCCTGCAGCTGCGATGGAGGACTTTGGCATGACCGCCTTATGAACCACCTCCCTGACCTCTTCTAGAATAAGCAGCAACCAGAATTATGCGGAAAGGTCAGTTCAAAAGACTTATAAGACAGATGGGCTCAGGAGATAGGGTGATGAAGAATTAAGAATAGATTTTAACTTTGTCTCTAAGGCAAATGGGTACATGGGACAAATACAAAACTGGGGAATAGGAGTGGGGAATTGGTTGGTTTGGAGCCCGGTGTGAAGATACCCTAGGCCATCCAAGTGGAATGGGGACAAGGTGTTTAGCCCGAGCGCATGCCCTGCCGGGAGATTCAGGAATCTTCTGAGCAAAGAGGGACACAGCCAAGGACTGGGATACTTTATGGTTCAAATGACCAGGAAAAACTGTCATCAACTTCTGCTTTCCCAAAGAACGAAGTTTTCAAGGTTCTATGGTATGGCGGCATTATACAGTGCATACTCAAATCATGTACTCAAATCGTGGTGTCTGGACCAACAGCATAGCACCTCCCCTGCTGGGAACTGGTCTGTGCAGAACCTCCATGCACCCCACATCGGCTGCATCAGAATTTGCATCTCAATATACCAGGGGACTCAGGGGCATTCAGTGGTAACTGCCCCCTCAACTCTGGTCCTTAAAATGCTCACCAGTTTTCAGTGAATGAGAAAAAGAAAAATGCAAACATTTAAAATGACAAATGTATTCAATTTAGAGAAATGTCCTTTATTTTGATGTCAGGTGCTTCGTTTGCTGACATTGTTTATGTGCCCTGTCTTTTATGAAATTAAGGTAATGGTTATTCGGGCAATTCCCCTAACAGCAACTTATTTTATACTTTATTGGCACCAGGTGACTTTGAAGATGTTATTTCCTTTACCAGAATATCCTCTCTCCACCTTGCCCACTGAGCCTAAAATTTCTCCATGAATCATATTTGGACCACCAAGCCTGTGTATTAGTTTCCCACAGCTGCCCTAACAAAATACCACCGACTGGAATGCTGAGAACCACAGAAATGTATTGTCTCACAGTTCTGGGAACTGCAAGTTCAAAACCAGATGTCAGCAAGGTCATGTTCTCTGAAGGTTTTAGGGAAGGACACCTCCTTGCCTCTCCCTAGCTTGTGGTGATGGCTGCCTGCATCCCTGGTGACCCTCAGCTTGTAGATACATTGCTCCGACCTCAGCCTCTGTCCTCACATCACCTCTTTCCTGGCATGTGTCTATGTCCAAATTTCTCTCACAAGGATACCAGTCATTGAATTAGGGACCACCCTAATCCACCCTGGGTTTAGGACTTGAACATATCTTTCAGGGACACAACTCAACCCACAACTGTCTATAAGAATACATTTTTAAAAGAAAATACCCTGACAATTCTCAAAATTACGTGATCAATACTATAATACAGTGCTGCTTTCAAAATAAAGCACAAAATAAAAAGAGTGTACTGCAATAAAAGTTAGCATAGGACCAATGATCTGTATGGTTTCATAAACTGTTTTCACTGCAGAAAGCATGAACTCCAGTGTGAAGAGAGACTTTGCTTAGATTTTTTCATCAAACTGCCTCAGACCTTAATTTTTTCCTTAGTTTCATTTCTAGCATTTTCTGCAGCACTTATTACTTAAGCGCCTTTCTAAACATCATTGCCTCGTACTACTTATTTGACTGGCTGCTTCTGTCTCACAAACCTTAGTATCAGGAATCAAGTAAAGCCAGTTTGTGATCTACCAAGTCTTACAAGGCTGGAGTTCCTCTGGAAGTTCCAGGCCATACTACCTGGCCAGGGTTTTAAGAATGTTGTGAATCTAATGAATATTTGGGAATCACGGTTTCGGTTTTGAGATACTGAGATTGAGGGTTTCGATTTGAAAACTAAGATTTCATCTTTGTTACCACATGCTTGTGGTTAGGGCTCTCTGGGCAGCAAAATGTTGACCCCAGCCCATCAATGGAAGGTGAAACACTGCTTTAATATGTCTGCATCCCTGAGAAAAAGAAAAATGCAAACATTTAAAATGACAAATGTATTCAATTCAATTCAAGTCACTAGAGCAGGTGGGAATACTCATCAACAGCTCATTGGAAGCACTGGCTCTTTATTTTTCTTCCTACCCTGTCAAGCATGCAGTGCCTCCTTTTCTAGAAAAGAGAAAATAGGCACAGCTCACTGTGGGAGTTACAGACGGGTCAATATAAAGAGCTGCCTCCTGGTACAAGGTCTGACCTCTGTGTCAGAACTAGCCAGGTTCGCATTCATGCCTTGGTGGGATGCTGTGTATAGTACCTGGGACAGGCCAGACACTTAAGATTTTAGTCTAGATCCCATTTTTTTCTGACTATGATTTTGGCAAGTCACAAAACCCTTGTGGGACTCAATTTCTTCACTTATAGAAATGGGAGGTACATTCACAGGCTATAAAGATAAAACAAAACTTCCCTGTAAGACGCTCTTACATCCTGGACGTTTTGGGTACACTACTGTGACCATTGGGGGCCACTGCTGTTACGCCAGGAACATACAGGAGGCCAGCTTCCAGGCCTTTTCCCCAAGGCCAGGAGGGCCAGCCATTGCTGGGCCATGTGTCAGAATGTCCAGGGCACATCCATGCAACAGAGTATCCAGGGTTTAGGTATAAAGGAGTTTACAGGTTACACAGACATTCCTCTACAGCTATCTACAAAGTAACTGTCCAAAGGAGGGAACCTGATTGTTTTACTTTAGGGAACAATGCTTTGCAAATATGGTCAATGATAAGTGAAGGTGACAGTTTAGGACTTGAGGGTGACTTTTATTTTAGGTCATCAATTTCAACTGCCACACTCGCTCTTTCTAAAACTAACTTTCTACTCTATTAATATAGTTTCCTCTAATTTCCTCTATTAGAGGAACAGATTAAATTCAGAGTTAGCAAAAAATAAGAACTTGAGAGGTACCCTGACATAAGAACACTAATGGTCAAAGCTTTATGACAGGAATTTAATCAGTTAATCTGTGATGCTCAGAAGTTCAAATTCCAAAGTGTAGATGGCAAACGTAGGCTATCTTTTATCAAGGTAATTTCATGTAAGACAAAGGAGATGTAAAAGCTCTACCCCCCAGCCTCTTCCAGGGCTTTCTTACTGATCTGTCAGCCCCGCTTGGTTTTTCTACTTGGACTTCCTACCCCTCCCTAATGTTCCTTATCCAGTTACGGAGAAAAAGTACGGAGTAAAGAGCACTTGAAAATAAAGCAAAAATGGAACCAAAAATTGCTAGAGGAACATGATTTTCTTTATGAAATTTTTGACTGTGGTTCTCTCCAGGGAGAGCCAGACCACAGGGGTGAGATGACAGCAGCACAGGCAGCTCCGACAACATGGACCCCACAAAGCCCAGAACCTCCCGGAGGATCTCCGGAGCCTTCTATATGCAGTTCTTGGCAGAGTGTCACGAAGCACAGTAGTGGCTGGGGTACAGCAAACACACTGTGACCCCCCTCTCTTAGGAGCAAGGCTGACCCCTTCCACAGGATGCTCTCTGCCTCACCCTCACCCCCATCCCAGAGGCTCTGGGCCTCAACCATACTCCCCCCTTACTGAAACTTCGTTCCCCTCAAGGCCTGGGCATGTGCCGTTCCTCTGTGCTGGCTGCTTAACGCTTCCCTGGTCCGTCTTTCAAAGCCCACATGCCTTCAGAATTCCAGCCTGGGTTTTTAACCACCCACTCATTTATTAGGGACATAACTGCACGAACACTGCGGCCCACGCTAGACTGTAAGCTCCACTAGACCAGAGCCTGCCCGCTGTTTGGTGTGTACTTACAGCGTCTCCCAGCACCAGGCCGCCCTAATGCCAGTGCACACCTATGTGCTGAAGGGGAAGGAACAGCATGTCCCATAAACAGACAAGACTGACTTGACTTCAGGTACATCCTTGTGAACTTGAGCTTCGCCCGAGGACTGTAAAACTCCAAGTTAAAGTCCCACTCTGAAAATGCACGCATCCAGAGTGATCACAGACCAGCAAACATCGCCTCAACCCTGATACAAAGGAGAGGTATACTGTGTTGTTTAATGTTACAAGCAGGGCTAAACAAAAACAAAACACTGCGTATGAACTGGAATGGCTTTCGTTTATTCAAAAAAATATATTTTCTTGAGCACCTCCATGGGTGGGAGCTATGGGCGGGGGGAGCAAGGGGTCTGCTTCCAATGTGTTTTTGGTCTGAGAAAACATTTATGAACAGGCATAATGAAAACGCTAAAAACCCCTGAGGTAGAAGTAAGTGAAGCAGGAGGTCCCAGGAAGAAATGGATTAGTCTGTGGACAACTGCTCATTGTAATCCCAGTGCAAAGAAAGACATTCCAGACCAGGAAGGTCAAACTGGAACCTACTGAAACACAGGCGTCGCCCTAAGCCGTTCCCTAGCCTCGCTGGGGACACTATCGCAGATGGCACAGGCTCTGACTGGCTTCCAAGACCCTCAACAATTGAAATTACACTAAGAAAGAAAAACCCTACCGGTGGAAGCGCGGAGAAAAACCAGAGGAAACTTTAAAACCTGACCACATAAATGGCTGTACACAGCGCAGCCTGAGGCCCCTTCATCCCCAGCCCGAACCCCCAAGCCTGGAGCCCGCGCCCCCTGCGCCCCCAGTCTGCGCCTCCTGCACCCCCAGCCCGCGCCTCCTGTGCCCCCTGCGCCCCCAGCCCGCGCCCACCCATCCC